AGAATACGTCAGCTTTAAATCCGCCCCGAGCAGCTACGAAGCCCCCCTAGTTTCATTTTCCCGGAACTGGCGCTGGCCTTCTTCTGCTCCCCAGAGTGTTACGTACGTACGGTACTATCGTGCAGGGACACGCTTTCCATGTAACTCGTTTCACGTAGCCAGTTCCCGCCTTCGCCCCAAAGTAATTAAGAATCGTCCCTCAAGTCCAAGTGGTCCGGACCGAGTCGTCCAACCTCAAATTCAAACTCGAACTCGAACTTCAATCTTCCGCGGGAGGGGCGGAGGGGAGGGGGGGGGAGGGGTTAGTTGACGTTCGCGTAAAAGGATACGTCTTGAGTAGCCTGCGAATCTCCCTTCCCCTGCCGTTTTCGAATCCCGGCGCCAGGCTAACCGTCGCGCCCTTTAAAACGCTCTTAGACCTCTGCAAACAAGAAGACTCTTTTCAGTCATTGTCGAAAGAGGTTTGCCGTCGGTTTTATCGGCGAATGAAATTACCAGCTCGTTGATTGTCAGACTGGACAACGGTTTTGCATCCGACGGGAGCCCGTCCCTCGGTTTTCGTCCTTCGATCCAGTTCAGTGGAATCCCCGCGCCGGTGTACTCTACATACTGCGCGGAGCGTAAGTCAAATTAGTAAGAATAGTTAATAAATAATACTGGTAAAGCAAATTTATAAATAAATAATAATTATATAATATATATAATAAAATAATTATATAATAAAAAATAATATGCATAAATAATAATTAAGAAATAATATTGGTAAGCAAAATTACTATATATATATATTAAATAAAGCAAAATAAATAATATACGTATTAAATAAAGTACCATTATTTAATAATAATGTTAATAAACAAAGCACTATTGTTTGATAATAATATTAGTAAATAAAGTAAAATTGAAGATGTTCGATTACACACATCGCCATTTACGAAAGTATAAAATTCTGCGTGCTCTTCGCCAGGTAGACTCTCTTTACTGTCTTTTGACTTTCCAAACAATTTGCTCGGAGAAGAATTCCTCTTGACCGACTTGGAACCGTCGTTTCTCTTCGACGGAGACTTTGATTTCGTCTCGAGGCTCGGCTTGGCGCTGGGTTCCTGCTCGTCGTCGCACTCTCTCTTGCCAACTGAGCTCGAAGGCAAGAGAAGCCCGAGATCTATCGACTCGGAACTCCGCTTGAAAAGGCAACGCAGGCTGTTCAAACTGGTGGCGGTGGACCAATCCTTATCCTGGCGGATGCGCGTTACCCGCGGGAACCTGATGCTGATACCATCAGCCGTGTGAACGCCTTGATTGGTAAATTCGGCGCCCGTTATTTCCCACACTGGCTGTCTCTGAAATTCGCGAAGTACAGACAGATGGCTCTACTATACGCTGTGCGCGTGCACTTGTTCTCATCCGAGAATCGAACCAAATTCCTTCGCAGAGTTACCTTTGGATCTCTTGCAACGAAGTCGGGCACCATCGGTTTGTTGGCGCACAACCAGGACGGTACTTTGCTCGGATCTTTGCCTATCTTTACCATATCGAGCTGGTCCTGAAGCATCGCTAAAGTCGCGTCGTCGTGACCGGTGTGCACCTGCATCGTACAATTTTCTCAACGTGACCGCGATATTCCACATGTTGTCCACATGTGGTAAAGGAGGTGGTCTAAATATTGAAGATACACATCCATGTTAGTCTTTCAAAGTTTCCAAAGAACGATAATTCCCAAATGGAAGTGGGGGCCCATGTTTAGAGAACATGTTTTCAAAAGTGAAGATTCGTATCTTTCTTTTAAATATCAAAATTCGTAGTGAAGATTATTCTGCTTAGCTTCTGTTAATTCTATATAGTATAAAATAAACATATTAAAGATACACATCCATTGTTGTGTTACTCTTTCAAAGTTTCCAGTAGGGTCGCCAATAATTTCCAAATAACAGTAAGGAGTCTATATTTAGACCACCTCTTCTATGAGAGTCCTTACTTTGGTCACCGTTACCCAATTGTCGTGATCTTCGTCGTAGCAACCCATCAGGAATATAGACATGATACCACCTACACGTGTGCAATGCATTGAAAAATAATAAAAATTGCAGATCAAAAGTAAATGATAAATTCTTACTTTTTATATCTAACTCTCGTTACGTTAGTTTTAATTCAACGAATTAACAATGGTAAAGAACAAAGTTGTTGAGTTTTTGTTTTCTAGCCCGTTCGTGACAGAAGAGCTAGAAGACACGTCCATCGCGAAACAAACAAACGATACACAGAGTACAGACCTTTGTTACCGGTGCCGTACCATGCGCCAAGCACAACGAGATCTGCGCTATCGGCCATTGCACCATCGTATAAATAATCCTTCTTTACCTTCAACCAATGTCGTTTACCCGGCTCGTATTTGCTCTGTAAATAATCAAGCGTTGCCACGCTATCGATTATTGGTAGATTATCTATCCGATCGATGAAGATAAAAATCGACGATAAAAGTAATAAACTTGTTGCTATTATGACAGAAAAAGTTGCTGTGTCGGTCCAGTTCTCGTGTTAAAGTCAAGGATTCAAGCACACGATACGTACGCGGTTGTCTTTGAGGACCAAGCCCTCGAGACCCATTTTAAGAACCCTGGCAATCATCTCGGCCAAATCTTGAGATTTCTGAAACCCAAATCATCGTTTAAAGCTTTAAAATTTCGTGCTTGATTTAATTCTAATCGATCAAATCAGTGTAATCATTTTTACGTGAACTTCCTTGACTTCCGAGAGCATTATCCTGTTTGGTATCTCCGTTATCCTCTCCGACAAAATTCGTCGCCGTTCCATCATAGATCTGCACATACCGAGAATCGTACACTGAGACGATAAACCGAGGACAAACGACGAAATTCGTCGACTTACTTGTGCAGTAAAACGTCTCCGTTGTAGTAGATGCAATCGAAAATAAACAAGCAGGCATTGGCGTCTTTGAATTCCGCTTTCTGAAAAAAAAAAAAAAGAAGTAGTATAGGGATATAAAATAGCGCAGTGAGTCACACTGTATTTAACGAACATTCGAACCTTGTGAACACCCAAAGTACCAAAGGGCAACGGCTGTCCCGTCGTGGTGTCGATCATGAGGATCTCCGAGTCCAGAATCAGATCGTCGCCGTCCGGGAAAGCTTCTGGAATGTAATTCTTGAACAGGTTCACCTGGAACGGAGCAGCGAGGACACGTGTACACTCCTTGCGAAGCGCAAACAAAACTACAAGGAGAGACGAACGGAACTTTGTGTTTTACTTTGTGAGGAAGCACCGGTTTCAATGATCTACTGAAATATCGAAACTCGTTCCCCTTCTTGTGCACCTGAACTCGCTCCCCATCGTACTTCACCTCGGCCAGCATTCCGTTCGGGCACTTCTTCATCGCCATCTCCACGGACTTGCAAGCCTCCGCCTGTCCGAATATACGTCATCCTCGTTATCCTTGACGTTGGACATTTCACGACACACAGATAGACACAAACACGATGTTACAGAGCAGCGGTTCTTAAACTTTGTGACTTCAAGGACACCCTTGATGTGGATCATTTTGCTGGATCCCTAACCTAACCTATTTCTTTAATGGAAGCTAAGAAAATATTTTCACGTATACAATCTGTTTATTTTTTATTATATATATAAATTGCTGCATTTTGTTGGACTCCTAACCTAACCTATTTCTTTAATGGAAGCTAAGAAAATATTTTCACGTATA